ACGTGCTGTACCCATCAAGTGGGGAAAAGGGCACATTATCGTTGTGAAAATTAGGTGAACGCGTCTGGTCAAAGGTAGGGAGAATGGGGTCATATACAGTCACACAGGAATTTTTCGATTCTTCATATTCCTTCTGCACGCGCTACAGTGTATGTCTGATGTTGTGTGGGCACCAGAGCACGCCATCGTTGTGATATCACAATGGGGGGGGGGTCGTATTTGACCGCGAGGGAGGGGGGGGGGGTCGTATTTGGTCTGAGAAAATTTTTTTGATAGTTGATTTCTCTTGTTTCACGGACACTATAAGGAAGGGGGGGGGTCGTGTTTGCTCGTTTTGAGGAGAATGTACCAGAGGTCTTATTTTACAGGAATTAAGCATAATGCGATGGCATGCCCTGGTGGGCACTCAAGCGGCGGCAACGTACACTGTGAAGCATAATCATAGTTCCAACCATGAATCTCACAAAATCAAAATCCAAAATGTTTCTTTGCACATTTCGATGGCTTGAGAGCCTACGGTCCTCTATCTGTCTGCTCACAACGTTTCTCAATATGAACATGCGCAAAAGTTCAAGATATCACGTAATCGTCTTGCCACTCTCTTCCACGTTCTTCCGTAGGTACGATATTGGCATGAGGCAGAACACTTCGTTGTTGGGGATTCCCCAACAACGAAGTGCGCTCGACGCCTTGGTGAGAAGGGAATCAGGGGGGTCGTACCAACCCTCTAAGAAAGGGGTTGGTACGGTCTCCAGAAATTTCAGCACCATTGAAGTATTCCTACCCCAGAACACTCAAAAATTTTTTTCGCTGAAACGTTGCCTATAGATGTAATTCGATGCGCTGATCACGAATATAACATCCGTTTCGAGCGCTGGCGTCATTTGGCGCCATTATGCGCCAATTTGGCGCCCACCACTTTTTTCACCAAAGTTGATGAAAACTTGCATATGGGGGTTAAGGTCCTGATTACGAATATCACACTGGTTTCAAGCGCTGGCGCCACTGGGTGCCATTATGCGCCAATATGGCGCCAAATTGGCGCGTAATGGCGCCAAATGGCGCCAGCGCCGAAAATGAATGTTGGATTCGTAATCAGGACGGTGGTGAAGTCCGTTCCTCCAAGTGGTGCCACCGGGTACTGCCCGCTTTTGCGGGTTGCAGAACACGGACAAACTCGAGGCAGGTGACAGGCCTTCGTGACGGGCCGGCCTACGAACACCCCATGTCACATCACAATGTTTAACTATGCCACATGATTCACGAGATAATGCTACGGCGTCCGCGGGAGCCGACGCGCACTCGTATGGCCCGGCGAGTGTGGAAAGTATGCGAGGGTCCCTGATGCAAGGACGGCATCGGGGGGCAACCAGGCTAGTCCGAAAGTCTGGCAACGTTTGGAAGGCTCGCCTTGCAACGCTAAACGTTGGGACCTTGACAGGGCGCTCATTCGAGTTGGCTGAAGCACTGGAGCGCCGAAGAATCGATCTCTGCGCAGTGCAGGAGACCCGATGGTCCGGTTGTCAGTCGAGAGATATTGGTCGTGGCTTCAAAGCCGTTCTTTGTGGTGGACCGAGAACTAAAAATGGTGTAGCTGTAATCGTTTCTCACCGATTCCGTGACTCGATTACCAGTGTTGTTCGTTTTGCGACCGTTTAATGAAGATTGTTGTCGCTGTTGAACAACGTCTATACCACTTCTTCTCTGCGTATGCCCCGATGCTCCGAGCAATCCAAGGACGACTTCTGGGCTCTGTTGAATGAGAAGACGGCTGAGGTACCACCAGGAGACGGTATCATTGTTGCTGGCGACCTAAATGGACACGTGCTAAAGACGGCTATGCTTGTCACGGTGGATTCGGCTACGGATCAAGGAACGCCGATGGTGAGCGAATCCTTGAATATGCAGATATGCATAATCTCGTCATCCTGAATACAAAGTTTCGTAAACGCGACTCCCATCTCATCACCTTCTACAGCGGGAGTTCCAAAACACAAATAGACTTTGTCCTTATCAGGCATGGCGATCAAGGACTCGTCACAGACGCTAAGGTCGTGCCGTACGAGACAGTTGCCCCACAACACCGCCCGCTGATCTGCACGCTGAAATTTACAGCACCCAGATCGAAACACACCGAGCGGTGTGCCCTCGAGAGGATCAAATGGTGGCGACTGAAAGAGCGGGAGGCAGCCATGGTTTCTCGTATCCGCTTACCGGAGGTCACGACTGTCGAAGAAAAGCCGTTGAATCGATAATCCACGCCGCTCGCTCAGAACTCGGCACGACTAAGCCTGGGCGGCGTAGGATTGACAAGCAGCCTTGGCTTTGGACGGATGACGTCCAGGCGAAGGTTCGAGCGAAAAAGAAACTTTATCACGTGTTTCTTGGAACAAGACGGCTGGCAACTGGCGGAAGTACCAGGAAGCGAGGACTGCGGCAAAGAAGGGTCGCCGTAGTGAAGGCCGCTCATTTTGACGATGTCAGCAAGAAACTTGAGACTCGCGACGGTGAGCGGCACTTGTACCGACTTGCCAAGTCTCGTCACCGCCAAACCGAAGACATAGAAAAGTTTTTTGGCATCAATGACGAGAATGGCCATCTTCTGATGAACCGAAAGAGGGTATTGCAGCGATGGCACGACTATTTCGAGAAGATCTCGACAAAGGAATTTACCCATCCGCTTATCCCCTCTGCGGCGCCAATATACGGCCCCCTTCGGAAGATTTCAGTTGAGGAGACAGAAGCGGCTCTGAAGAAGATGAAGGCTGGTAAAGCTACAGGTCCCGACGACCTAGCAGCGGACCTATGGAAGTCACAGCAGTGGTACTCCGCAGAATGGTTGACAAAGCTTTTCAACCAAATCACTGCAGAGAAGAAGGTACCCAAGGACTGGTTGCAAAGCACGACGGTTCCGATTTGGAAGAAGAAGGGCAGTCCAGCAGATTGCTCGAACTACCGTCCAATTCGCTTTCTCTCGCACACTATGAAAATCTTTGAGCGAATTGTTGATGGCCGTATTCGTGACATCGTCCAGCTCTCTGCCAACCAGTGTGGCTTCGTAACTGGCTGTAGCACCATCGACGCCATTCACGCTGCTCGCCTTTTGCTTGAGAAACATCGTGAGAAGCAAAAGCCTGTGCATGTAGCCTTCCTAGATCTAGAAAAGGCATTTGATCGCGTCCCGCGAGACGTTATATGGTACGCCTTGCGTACTTCGCGCAAAGGCTGACACCGTCTGTAAGACTGGCCTTCAGCTTGAGGTGCCCGGAAAGCGACCTAGGGGACGTCCCAGACAACGCTGGCTCGATACGTTGCATACAGACTTGAAAATAGCCGGAATTCACCCCGATCAGGCATTTGACCGGGAAAAGTGGCGTCGTCACATTAGAAGAGCGGACCCCGCCGCTGAGCGGGACAAACGCTAAAGAAGAAGAAGAAGAAGAAGATTCGTAATCAGGACCTCAATTAACCCTCATATGCAAGTTTTCATCAACTTTGGTGAAAAAAGTGGTGGGCGCCAAATTGGCGCATAATGGCGCCAAATGACGCCAGCGCTCGAAACGAATGTGATATTCGTGATCAGGCATCGAATTACACCTACAGGCAACGTTTCAGCGATAAAAATTTTTTTGAGTGTTCTGGGGTAGGAATGGTTCAATAGTGCCGAAATTTCGTCTTCGAGCTGATTTTCAAATTGCCTAAGCCACCAAATCCACTAAAAACTTGTATATAGGGGTAATTCAACATCCTGATTACGAGTATGACACTCATTCTTGGCGCTGGCGCCAAGAGAGGACACTACGATTACCTCCTGGGCTCAGCCTTAGCAGAGCGCAGGTAACCGTAGTGTCATCCATTAGCGCCAGCGCCAAAAATTAATGGCGACAGGAGGTTATGAATTAGTCCTAGTTGGCTAAGCGAGCGGACCGTCGAACTTGCCCGACTGTTCCTCTCTTGCCTCTACATTTTTATGACGATCTTCAGTCTCGCGTTTTTCCCGTAGCCTTGCAAACATTGAAAAACAAATTCAATATCAAAGTGGTGGTTGAGTGCAGTACAGACTGGCCTTTTACAGAACATCCCTAAGGAGTGTCAGAAAACGATGAATCCACACTACAGTGAGGACCCCGGGGGATTACGGCCCGCTCAATGTAAACTAGTATTGCATCTTTGCGTCACCTGTGTGAACCTTGTTAGGCACATCATAAAGAGGCTGAAATGTTCACCTAAATGCGACCCCATCCATTTTTTCAACACGTTCTACTCCATAAGTACCCCTAAAAATCCACTATAGCGGATGTGGGGACGATGCATATCTGAGCGCTTTGCGGCGCGTAGCTGCGACGGCTGTGAGGTTGCAGATTGAAGAGAGCCAGGGACTTATGTATAACACCAGTCGGATCACCCGGCTGCCGCCGGGTGCTCCTCCTTCTGTTTCACGGCCCGGCTTCGCCGGGCCGACCTGGCTTCGCCAGGCACTCTTCCCTTGGGCGAGGTAGAATGCGCTAAATGTGCCAAATGGTGGCAGTTATTTTTTATTGAAATGTAGGAAAATGAGTTGAAAATAGCTCAACATCAGTTACTGTCTACCAATATATCGATGGTTCAGCTGACACCTCAAACTTGGGTAATTAAACGTTTATCTGGAAGCACCGCAATAAGAAAGAATTAAACTGTAAAGCTCGGCTCACCAGGGCTCCTTTTATGCTGGTCAAGTGGGCGGAGCTCGCTGGTATTGGCAGGAGATATAAACATGATAAGGAAATGTTGTGAGAGAAGCCTATACAATCGTTCAGATCAGCCTACTGATAACGATATTGGAGCTTACAAGGCTATTCGTACAACAGAATAAGTAAAAGATAGTGTCATAATGGTTACAATAATGATACAATAATGATAATGTTACAATCGCTAAATAGAGCGAGAGTCTCTATACTCCCGGGGACACGATAACTGCCAGCTTCTGGATCCACTGCTCAGCCCTCTCTCTTGCCTCCTTCTCAGGTACGATTCGACGACGATGATGAGGAGCTGCGACGTCCATCACGAGTATCGTCTGGTCGTGTGCCTTCTCTCGCCCTCTCGCGTCCTTTGTCATGCTCCGCTGTCGCGCTTCCTCCACGTCTCCTTCTGTGTTCATCGTCCCGAGTGTGGCTTCCGGTCCGACGACGACGATCCTCGCGACCGCGATTGACTCCTGCCATTTCGCGGTCTAGTCTCAGCTGCAAGTCTCGCATTTCCCTTTCCAGCCTTGATTCCCTTGACTGATATCTTTTCCTTCTCTCCTTCAATTCGTCCATCTCTTTAGTGGAGCTGACTCTGCCCCCCTCTTTCCGCCACTCCTTCTCGATGTCTCTGTTGACCTCAAGCATGGAATCACGGACTTCCTTCAGTTCTTTCTCCGTCTCGCTCATCTGACGTCTGATGCGTTCCACCTCTGGGGTGGGCTCCGCGGGGGCACTTGTCGTTACTGTGTTGCCCTCTGAGAGGCGAGAGCCAAACTCTCGACGCGTCCCTGAAGAGCACGAATGTCGAGGGAGAGCTGTGAGATATTGATATTGTCCACTGCGCCTCGCAGTTCCTTGAGGTTATCACGAAGATCGTTCCAATGATTTTCACTTGTCGCGTGCTCTTTTTCAAGGCTGGCTGTGTTCATTCTCTCTTTGATCTCTTTCTCCATTTTTTCGAAACGATCCGTGAGTATGTTTAGTTTCAGACTCAGCGTGTCCAGCTTTCCTTCGGTTGTCTTGTGCCTCTTCATGTTCTCCAAATGATAGGCTCTGACCAGATCTTCGATACGCTGGAGACGCTCAGTTGTCTGCGGACAGGGAGCTGTCGTTACCGCAGGGGCGAGCTGGTCTACTTTGCTCGCGGCAAGGTGCAGAGTTCGGGATCCTTGCAATAAGAGTTCCTTCAGAATGGTCCCAGAAGCTCGTCCTTTCTTAGGTGGAATATCGCCGGCTTCTTCTGTCGACGAAGATGACGATGACGAAGACGAAGACGAATTTCGTTGACGTTTTGGGGCGGAGGTCGTCGAGGTTGTGTCCGCATTAGTCGCTGGCCTCTTTCTGGCGATCTTTGCAGGCTTCGAACTTACTGTCTGCTCGGCACTTGGCTTGATGGGCTTAGCAGTAGACGCAGATGTCTTGGCGGCTTGTCTGGTTCGTGAAAGGCGAGCCACTGCTGTCAGTATTACGCGCCCTTTGTCCAGTGTGGCGGCAGCCCTTTCAATGTTGGAGCCGACTTTCTCGAGAATTTCATCCAGCGACGGGGTGCTGGCATCGAGGCTATCCGCAGCGCTGCTGTAGCGCTCGAGAGCCGTGTCCACGTTGCTTGTTTCTGATTCGAGGATTGCTTTGATTTTCCGAATCCTCATCCTCTCTGTCCTTAGATAAGTCCTACGTTCGTGGTCCTCAGAGGGAGGTTCCAGTTCCCATGCCTCTAAGTCCTTGTACTCGTCCACTACAGCGGCGAGCCTATTCACCGATTTGGTTAAAAGTCCTTGCCTACTTGAAAGCAATGTGGCCATGTTAGTGCAACTACTCAGTCCGATCGTTAATGATGCAGTGGTGCAATCGCTCGGTGGTGCAGACAAAGGACGTTGTGCATGCGCAGACAGGACCTTATGCGAAGCGGGAATGTACACTCACTCCTTCGCTTGAAAT